TTTAAACCGTTTCCCTGTATGATTGTATAACTAGGGCTAGGGATTTTATGCTCTAAAAGTATACAAAATTGCTAAAATATGCTTTTAAAAATATTTTATTTTTCATTAAAAATTAAAAATTATAAATTTATTTTTTATTAAATAAGGCATTTAATTTTTACAACAAAATAACTGTAGGTACTTGGCCCAGAATATTATACAAACTATATTATTATTTATTAATGCCAGACAAAAACACATTTGCTATTATAAATTACTATACTTACGGACAAATTGACATCAACTGACCGTATTCAGTACACTATTCGGCGTATTCCTTATCGATTGACCATGTTTTTCACAGCACACAAATAATTGGGAAAACACACGGTAGATAGATTATTTAATTATTTATATTTAATCATATTAATCAATTTTTTTTAATTTCTAGAAAATTAATATTATATATTGTACAAAACAAATAAAATATTATGTTACAAAGAATTAATTTTTTTTTTTTAATATAATATGTGAAATTACTTGGAATACAAATATATAACAAAATATGCATTTAAAAGGAAAAAGAGCTGAATATGCAAATTACAAATTACTGCTTTAAACTTCTAGTTCTGAGAAACAAAATTCTATATTACTTAGTTATGTTTTGAATGACTCCTATGAGTCCCAGCCTTAATAATATCATCGTCTAATGACGACATAGGTATACGTACAATAATAGTAATAATAATAATAATAATTATTATTATTATTGTTATTACATATTATTTACTTATTATAGACAATATAGTTTCTTTTTTTTCGTTTTAAAGTATTTTAATTTAACTGCAGTACCTACCTATAATGATTCTAAATAGTAAATATTTACAACTTACTTCATAATTAATACTTTTATTGGTATGTATGATGGTCGACGGATGCTAACATAATTCCATCATCAGTTTAATATATTTTTTTTTAAATACTTGTTACTAAAACCTAGCTATACCTAAGAAAAGTGGCGATGTGGACTTAGAAGTTGACTAATACCGTTTGGCGTTTACCACCAAAATTTTATAATATAAAACAGAATGTAACCATATTATAATGTCATATTTTATAGCTGAGGAGTACTCTACACATCATTTACACCACAAGGCAATGGTTCAATGAAATATCCTGTCACACCGCGAGTGCCTAAATACCTACTAGACATATTGAACATTAATAATAGATATTGTAACTAACTTTTTTTGGTTATAGATGTACGCAGATTTAGGGTCGCAGTTTATGCGACTATAAATATAACGTGCTCACTAAAAACAAAAATGTTCCTGAATAAAATACTCAAAACATTGAACTAAAAATATATATGCTGATAACCATATTTTATTATCACTGTTTATTACTTAGAAAATAATGTTTTTAACATTTTTTTCATATCAAAAAATTAAAAATATCATTAAATACAGATAAAATTAATATAATTTAATAATTCTTGTTATATAATGTAATTAAGCAAGAAAAATAGATTGTTTTCGCGAAAGCGATTCGCGGCGTCGTCAATTGAAAACGAAAAAAAAGAAAAAAAGATCATGCTTACAAATTTTGAAATTTTTTTATTTGGTTTTTGTTTATATTTTGCCATCTAAAAAAAGTGAGCTTGTATTGAAAAATTAGAACTCAATAAATAAGGGAGCACGTTTGATGAATCACTCTGTATCTTATATTTATTGTGGTCATTACAATAACTATATTGTTATAGTAAATGTGGTACAATTTACTGATTTTTTGGTTTTTAATAATTATTAAGTGTTTTTTTTTTATTTTTTAACAGAATATAAAATCCATTACTGTAGTTATGTCAAGATAACAAAATAGTTATAAAACACACTTGTATTTTTGTATGGTTCTTGTAACACTATATGTATTTTTATCATGGTATTTTTTAGGTTCTTTATTAATTATAAAATATTTATCATTTTTTAAAAATTATAAAAATAATTGTTTTATTTTATCATAAACAGCTGCGAAAAAATACGTTTTTACAAATGTTTATATGAAAATATGAAATAAACATTTATAGAAAATTATTCAACTACTTCTGTTTATGAAATTAAAAATAATATAAGTGGACATAAAAAATAATTAAAAACAATAATATATGATAAAAAATACGAATAGTACTTAAATGTTTTGTTGTATAAAATGTTATGGAAAAAAAATATTTTTTTAAATCATTAAAATTGACTTAAAAATTGAACCGTATATATATACATATTATAGCACATTGTAACCTATAGTGCAATATTTTTTACCGAATGATGACGATTTTCTAATTGCCATTGGTTGTATTAAAATAATTGTTTAACTTAAAATAGTATAGCTATTATATATATAGTCTAGACTACTATAGTTAGCCCTAAAAAGGTTATAATAAAAAAAAAAGTAGCTATAATTTTCTTGACGTCACATTAATTGACTAGAAGACTACATGATCTATACCAATATGGGTGCAAATATAGGATCAAATTTTTTTTAAACCCATTTTACTATATTTATATATTTATAAGTGATTTATAATAAATGTCAATTTACACTAATATAATATATATAGATTCATTAATGATTCAACAGCATCTTTTTCAATATTGAAAAAAGTTAGATAAATCTGAAAAACAGTCTTACAGCAACATTCTTATTGTTAGCCAATCCTTTTCCTTATTGGAGAAAACATTTTTCGTGATTATATATTATATTTTTTTGAAAACTACCAACTATTTGTTCTGATTCCGAGGACGCTATAAAGAGAAATTGACATAACTATTAAAAACTGCATGAGATTGTGAAGGAATCGAAGATCTCATTGAATATAGATATATGTTATAAAATTTATATGGCGGAGAGTATTTTTCATGTTATAAAAATTAGGTTTTAACAACTATTACGGTGTCAAAATATATGTTTCGATTTATTTTTCGTATTTTTTATACAATAAATATATTTTTTCTTAAAAAATGTAAGTTGTACAGATGAAAAAAACATATAATAAAATAAAAATAAATAAAGTGAACATGTTATATTATATTATCAGTATACACTTTATTATAATACTTATCAATAAAGTACGGAAAGTGTGTGAGGAGAAAAAAGGAAGAATTGGGGACGATCGTTCGATGGCGACCATCGATGGGGACATTTCTATTTGGTTTGTATAGCTGTATCCGAGCGCAGTGCCA